AGAATAACTCTGTAGTTGCAGGAGATACCTTTGCGTTTGATATTAATTTCAAGTCATCAAAGTCCGCCGATGCCCCCTTTCTGTGTGAACTTGAACGATCAAAGCTCTTCCTCCGCCTCAGAGAAGACAATGAATCCATATAGTAATCTTTAGTCTGAGCCGATCCACCAGGGATTTTATCTCCTACATTCTTCGGAGAGCCTTCTGATTCATCAGAAGGATCATCTTTCATAAATTCAGTACCGGGGAATTTGGCCTCCTCCAAAACTGAAACCATCGGCGTAATCTTTGGATAAGTTTTTCCAATCAGATATCCATCCCAAGAAGCCCTTGCCTCATCGAACGAATACCGTGAATCATCCAACGATATTCTACCTGCATCGGCGGAGAATCTTGGATCTGTATCACAAGACATTCTTCCCAATCCATAGTCTCCAACCTCCGAACGAGTCTCTCCAATTTCAAGCACTCTCGACTTGATAGCCTCTGTTGTCACCGCATCTACATTGCAATTGTTACCGAGATTCTTTCTTTTTTGCTTTTTCCTCCATTTTCCGAGTTTCTTGCTGAAGACTGAAGCCGCTTCCCAGACACTCCCTGCAATTTCTCTTAAATCTCGACCTGCATTCTTCTTCCTCCGAAATTCGAGATCTATAAACTCTTTCACCGTCTTGAACTCAGCCTCCTCTCCAGCAAAATCGTCGATCGTGCCAAGAGCCGGTCCAATTGTCCCTCCGGATGCCCTAAATTGTCTCTCATTTGCCACAACCTCATGCAATTCAAAACCTAAATTCTTGGATTCGATCTCCACCTGCTGATTCGTACATCTCGGCTTATCTTCGCGACAGAAAAGGTCCGACAAGGAGTTTCCGGAGCGAACATCGCACGATTTCCGATGCTGCACCTGCATTCGCCCGATGCTGGCATCACGCTTCGCTGCAGAGAAGGATTTGCTCCGACGGAGCTCCAATGGTGAATGGTGTTTCTGAAGTGGCGATTCCTGTTGCGTATCGAGATCAATCCCAGCAAGGCGCTCACGGAGGCAGGAGGCGCAAAATCCGGTCACTGGCTTGGTAGGATGACGGTGACAGGAGGAAAGCCGATGCGATACAGTTTTGGCCTGCAGATTCATGGCTGAAGATGAAGAAGGCACTCATGTCGCATAGTTACCGAGAGAGAGAGAGAGAGTAGCAGAAAAAAGAGTAATTTTAGAAAATAGCCTCCAAATGTTTAGATTTTGCAGAAAAGACCCCTTTCATAAACAATATTTTAAGCAGACAAGTTTACCCTTTCTTAGTTAAAGAGTTGGTGGGTCAAATTTGCAAAGGCAAACTCTTCTTTTTTCCTCTCAAATTTATACTTTAAACGTTAAGTGAAATAAATACAAATAATGGGGTCAAAATTGTAATTATAGATATATAATTATAGACAAGACCAAGTAAATGTTTTGTAATTATAAATAAAATGGAGGGTAGATTCGGTAAGTGTTTTGATTGGAAGCGTCTTCTTGGGGTGTGAACGTGCAACCTAGAACCGTCTTGTTTCTTGGGTTTTGGTTGGGGTGAAAAATGATTATGCCCAATTTGGAACTTGGCTATCCAGTCATCAGGTTGCTCGACAACTTGAGAACCAAAACAAATATTAATAAATAATAGCAATGTAAATCGATCAGATCCTTTTGCATCCGACGTCCAGACAAGAAATCATCTCGTTGGCACATGCGATTGAAAGGATCCACCGTCCATTTGAGTGGAGCACCGAACCCTACATACTCCTGCACCGCACTGGATCATTCCATAAAAATATGGGTCTCTCGATAGCCAAGATTGATCAGTGAGGGTTCGAGAGAGAAGATGAAGAAAATTGAAAGCGAAATCATGGAGAAGACGAAGCAGCTTCTGGAATTGAGTCAGGAGGAAGCGAACGCCGTCGAGAAACTCGACGTCCGGCCGAGGAAAGCCGGAGAGTCATGCTTCTATACCTTCTTCGCTCTCAGAGGCATCCGAGTCGACCGTTCCGAACCAGGGCTCGTCGTTTGTACCCTAAAGGTCCCTCCGCGCCTCACAGTATGGTTCTGAAACTCTCTGTTACTTTATTTTCTATCTATTTCACTCTTTTTGCCCTAATTTTGGACCTAGTTCTGATGAAGACGTTGCGAAAATCGATTGACGATCGGTTCTTCTGCGAACGAATTAGTCGATGAAGAAAGAGCAGAGGCTAATTTTTCAAATCAAGCACTCAAATCACTCGATCGCCGATTTTATCCTACTGATTGAATTTGCAACGTATTGTTGAATTGAGTACGCAATCGGAGGGGGAGTGCGGTCCTTTTCCTCAATTGCCTAACGCCTCTGGTTTTCGATTTGTCATTTCAGGATCGAACGGGGAAACTGTCTTCAGGTGCGATCGCCAACCTAGTGGATGAAGTCGGTTGCGCCATAATCTATGATGAAGCCCTACCGGAGCCGGTTTCTATCGACATGTCGATCTCGTATATGTCGACTGCCGACGTCGATGTGCGTATAACATTCTCCTTTACTCCCTAGATTCACTTCACAAGCTCTAAATCAAACAAAGAAAGAAGAAAAATGAAATTAAATTATGAAGTGTGAATATCTGCAGGATGAATTGGAAATAGTGTCGAGGCTCTTAGGGCAGAAAGGGCGTTATTCTGGAACCAGTGTGGTTATTAAGAACAAAGGAACGGGAGAAATTGTTGCAGAAGGAAGACATTCGTTGTTCAGCATACGACCGAGTGTGAACTCTAAACTGTGAAAATGGTAAGTGCTGCCATTTTAATTATAGATCGAAAAAATATTTTCTGAATCTGCATCCTGATGTTGAGAGATTTGAACTTAGAACAGCACTTAAATTGAAATGTAATATCTGTTGTATAAATTCTATTTTGGTTGCTCTCATTTGAAATTTGTTATATGTTAGTTTTCCGTTCATTGAAGTTTTAAAATTAGTCACACTAACTCCATTATAGAGTCAGACATCGGAGAACGCTGACTTCAAGGAGACCAAATTTGTTGGAGAGCGAAACAAAACATTCTTTATATATGTGAGGAAATCTTTTTCTAGTAGATGTGTTTTAAAATCGTGAGGCTAGGCGATATGTAACGGGTTAAAGCATACAATATATAACATTCCTTCCTTATAAAAAGTATGGAAACCTCCATCAGTAAATGTGTTTTAAAATCATGAGGCTGATGGCGATACGTAATGGACTGTTACACTTACACAAATACTCAAACTCCTAAAAATGTTCATCTACCTTTTGCTCAATCTAGAGATACTTCGAGCCTTTCGTTCATGTTCTTTTTTGTCAATATTGACGGTTGTTAATCAAATGCTCATTTTTCACTCTAAATAAGAATATATTTTGCTCGGTGAGTATGTCTTTGCTTAATGGGATTCGAAAGATGTGGGTTTTCGAGAGTCCGAGCACGGAGAAGATGCTAAAATAATGATTTCCAACCCCTTGCAGAGCTCCAAATTTCCATTGGCTTCTAAGACTTTAAACTTATTTTAAAAAATTAATTAAAGATATTATAACCACTTAAATTGTGGAAAAAATAAAATAAAATAATGTAACCAAGAATTTTCTGAATTATATAATAATAATAATAATAATAATAATTATTATTATTATTATAAAGTCGGAAAGTTTCGACACAATTAACTATGTAACACAAGCATTTCAAAATATATAATATTTATAAAAGAAATGTTCGGTATACAAATCGTAGAATTTGTAGATATTTCTTTTTAGGTCATATCTATAATATTTTAGTATTTAGTTGAAAATGCAAATAAACTATTTCAATCAAATACCAATAAGTAATTATATTTTTATTATTATTTTTGAAATTGGTATAATTAAACTATTAGATGGATTAATAGCTATAATATTTCATTAATAATTTTAACAGTCAAAATGAAGTGAAAACAAAAGTTACGGTAGAAATATAAATAAAATAGCATTCATTTTTAAAGTACATATTGCATTTATAATTTAACATTATATAAATACCGTGTGATAATTTTTTTTAATAATATTGGATAGAATATAAAAGTCAAATATTCGGTAAGATTTGATTGCGATTGTTTGAAAATTAAGAAAGTAATATTTAAATATATCTTGGAGGAATAATGGTATTATTAGGCTAAAATATAAAAATATAATAAATAAACTGTCATTTATTTTTTTAAATATTTCAGTACGGGTAGTTTAGGCTGGTTTTTTAATTCCCCATCTCAAATTAATTAATTAATATTTTGATTCTTATTTATTAATAATTTTAATAATTTGGGTAAAGTGTTTGTATTTTACAAAAAGATAAATATTGACCAAACAATTACAATATATCTTAAATATTATTTAATAATTTGAGGTTTTACAATTAAATTAATTAATTAATTAATTAATTAATTAAAAATAAAGTTGAGCTTTCATATATATTTGGATGATTTTGCGTTTACGAGAAGTACTCGACTTGACAGGAGTAACAATGACAAAAGATTTTTTAGGCCATCATATCATTGATCATAATACTTATCATATCCCTTTGTTCCTAAGGAAAAGAAAATTTTTCGAGAAGATTTTGAAACTTGCGACCAATTGGAATATGACAAGTCTTCGTTGTGGATTTGTAATAGTTCAAGCTCACCGCTAATAGATACTGTCCGCTTTGGCCCGTTACGTATCACCATCAGCCTCACGATTTTAAAACACGTCTACTAGAAAGAAGTTTCCACATGCTTGTAAAGAATATTTTATTCTCTTATTCAATCAACGTGGGATCTCACATGATTCCCTGATTCATAGCCGTCTTTGAATTTTACAACAATAACATATTTTTCTAAAAAGGGTAGCAAAATACTGATATTTTCAAATAGGTCCTTTCAGCCAAAGCCAAAGCCAAAACATAGCCGTTAATTTTTTACAAGTGAAATTGTAATTTAATATATAAAAAAAACAAACCTTACTCCATGAGAAAATCACTTAAGAAACTGCGAAAGAAGAACCGGGAAGAAAGACCGCGAATTATTGCCATTGCGGCGGCCGGCGAAGCAAACCAGTCAGCGGAGGGACAAAGTCAAGCGCTGAAGGCGACATCTCGCCGCCGTAAGCATGGAATTTTTTGGTATGTTCAGTATTTTTAGAACTCTAAAAGCAAAATTTAACCCTAACATTACTCCTTCTGTGCTTGACCAAGAGGCCCAGTCTTTCATAACTTCAAATTAAATGCTTCCATCTAATCATCTCTCCATTAAATTCTCAACTGCTTAAATTTTAGGAAGCGGATAATGATGATCAGATTTCCAAGTCGAGAATCGCCTGAATTTTGGTTCTACAAATGAAGAACAGAGACGACTCTGACCCTCACTTCCAGGATCAGAGATCGCAGAGCTCCAACTCCCGTGCCGAACGGCGTTCCGGTGCCCTACGCAAGCCGAATCATGAATCTGTACTTTCATACAAGTACGTAAAAGCGGCTGTTTCTAGATTTTTTAAATCCATTTTCATCGGTCGGAAGAAGAATTCTTCGGATCGATCTGTAATCAGCACCAGAGAAGCTAATAATTCTCGCAGAGAAGTCTCCTGTGAGTTTCCTTGATTTTTGGTTCGTTTTGCTTGTTCTTCGGCGAGTTAGATGATTGATTTTGCTTTCTTTGATTTTTAGCTTTTTCGACGGGAAGCTACGGGAGGAACTCGTCGGCTTTGAAGTCGTATGATTCGTATGGTTCATACGGTTCCTCGTCTAGCTATCCCAGCGAATTTTTCGCATCTCCGGAATTCTCGATTAAGGATCTTTATAAGGCGACGGACAATTTCTCTGCCGCTAATGTCGTTGGGACTGGATCGTTTGGAACGGTGTACAAAGGGAAGCTCAAAGACGGTTCTCTTGTGGCCGTAAAGCGAGCCAAAAGGGTACGAAGTTCAAGTTTAAACTTATTTTCTGTTGATTCCTCGAAGTTATGGAACAGGTTGAGTTCATCACGAGTTCGAACTTGAAATTAACAATGGAAAAAGTTGCTAAAGCTATGATTCGAGTGATCATATTAATATAAATTTGACCATTAAATGCTTAGGGTTCAGATTTTTGACAGATTTGATACTTTTGGCAGAATGCAAACGAGAGGTGTTTGCTGAAAGCGTTCTGGAATGAGATACAAGCTCTGTCAAGGATCGAACATTTGAATCTGGTACGTTTGTATGGCTATCTGGAGCAAGGAGATGAGAGGATCATTATTGTTGAATACGTTGGCAATGGAAATCTTCGAGAACATCTCGATGGTAAGCAATGTTGGTGAATCGTTCTGAATTGTGATATCTTCTTGATGTATGCATATAACTCAGAAATCTAGTTTATTGATATCTTTTGTGCAGGCAAGCGAGGAGACGGCCTTGAGATTGGAGAGCGTCTGGACATTGCCATTGATGTAGCTCATGCTATCACCTACCTTCACATGTACAATGGTATGCACATGATTTTCCTAATATGCATTTGATAGTGCTTCTGTGAGATCCCACGTCGGTTAGAGAGAGGAATGAAACATTCCTAAGGGTGTGGGAACCTCTTCCAAGTCTACGCATTTTAAAAACTTTGAGTGGAAGCTCGAAAGAGAAAACCCAAAGAGAACAATATCTACTAGTGGTAGGTTTGAGCTGTTACAAATGGTATTAGAGCCATACATTGAGAGGTGTGTCAGCGAGGACGTTGGGCCCCCAAAGGGGGTGGATTATGAGATCTCACATCGGTTGGAGAGGGGAAAAAAACATTTCTTATAAGGGTGCGAAAAACCTCTCCCTAGAACGAAACATTCTTTACAAGGGTGTGGAAACCTCTTCCTAACATACGCGTTTTAAAAACCTTGAGGGGAAGTCCGAAAGGGATAAGTCCTAGGAGGACAATATCTATTAGCGGTGGCTTGGATTATTACAGCTCCATATCAAGAGTAGGCTTACATATAGTTTAAGGAGTATTAGATAATGAACTATTGGTTCTAAGCTGTCCTGTAGTACGAACGAATCAACGTTTCTATTATTAGGCTAGAAGCTTAAGAATCCCAATCACTTCAAAATACAAACTAGCTCATGTTGCTAAGTTAATGAGTCAAAGAAACAGTGAGGAATCTGAATCTGAATGTTTAAATGTAACTGACAGATGCGCCAATAATCCATCGAGACATAAAGGCTACAAACATCCTAATCACAGAGAAACTCCGGGCAAAAGTGGCAGATTTTGGGTTTGCACGCCTGGTTGCGGAAGATTCTAACGTTACACATATATCAACCCAAGTTAAAGGAACGGCTGGATACTTGGATCCTGAATACCTAAGGACTTATCAGCTCACTGAGAAGAGTGATGTATACTCCTTCGGGGTGTTGCTGGTAGAGCTCATAACAGGAAGACACCCAATTGAAACAAAGAGGGATATCAAAGAAAGAGTAACTATAAGATGGGTAAGTCTTTTATTAACTGCACCATTACGTAATTCTGATCCTTTATACCTTGCAATTTTATATCAAATTCTCTTGTCTGCAATACCTTGGGTGCTTCTTTCCATTTTCTAGATAGCGACTATCCTTGTTCAGTTTAGTTTCCCTGCATCTAAAAGTGAATATTCAAATGTCATTGTGCAGCATTGTGAAGATTCTCTGCACGTCCTTTTAGTTCACTAGAGTTATGTTCTGGCTACAACTTGTGACACCACGATGAATAAAATTGCAAACTTGTAACTATCTAAGTCCACCGCTAAAAGTTATTGTCCGTTTTAGGCCGTTACGTATCACCGACAACCTCAGTTTTTAAAATGTGTATGCTAGGGAGAGGTTTCCACATCCTCGTAAAAAATGTTTTGTTTCCCTCTCTGACCGATGTGGGATCTCACAATCCATCCCCTTCATGCTCGGTGTTCTCGCTGGCACTCCTTCCCCTCTCCAACCGATGTGGGATCTCACAATTCACTCCCTTTTAGGGGCCTAGTGTCCTCGCTGGCACACCGCTCGGTGTCTGGCTCTGATACTATTTGTAACAGCTCAAGCCCACCGCTAGTAGATATTATCCATTTTGACCCGTTACGTATTGCCGTCATCCTCACGGTTCTTAAAACGCGCCTGCTAGGGAGAAGTTTCCACACCCTTATAATAATGTTTTTTTTCCCTTTTCCAACAGATAGGGATGTCACAAAACTACTCAAAAGTTTTTATGGGTTGAATTGATTCTTTCTGTCCTCTTAAATGTGAAAGTGCTCATCACATGACAATTTCATTAGGAGTTGCATACACCTTGTTCCCCCTCTTAGTTTTGAATACGTGATATTCATGAATGAAGCCAATGTATTTTCAAGTATGGTGTTTATTTCACTCATCTTCTTCATCACATGGTATGTTCCTGTTTACTGTAGACCATTATTAGGTACCAAATTACCGATGCATATTGGCCTAACTATGTTTAGGACCTCTACATATCATGCAAGTAAATTCCACGTGTTTAAGTTGTCTGCCGTAGTGTGAGGTCTGGTCTTAAATTTCTCTCTAGAAACTAATGGGTAGAGTAGCTCAAAAAGAACTATAGCAGTTTTGCCTTGCCTAGACATAAGGGTCGGGAAAAGGTCTCCAATCTACCTTAGTGTGATAGGAACATAGTTATTTGTTTTCAGTCAAGATGTCTATCCCGCCCCTTTCTAGGTTGGCATAACAAAGGAGGACGCCAATAAACAAAATCTACCCCTCACTTGTCGAAGGTAAAAAAGATCATGGGAGAGAATCTGTGAGATCTCTCATTGGTTGGAGACGGGAATGAAACCGTCTTTATAAAGGTGTGGAAATCTCTCCCTATCTGACGTGTTTTAAAACTGTGAGACGGACGGTGATATGTAACGGACTGAAACAGACAATATCTGCTAGTGGTGAGTTTGGACTATTACATATGGTATCAGAGCCAGACACTGGACAGTGTACCAGCGAGGGCGCTGAGCCCACAAAGGGGGTGGATTGTGAAATTCCACCTCGGTTGGAGAGAGGAATAAATGATTGCTTATAAGGGTGTGAAAATCTCGTCCTAGTAGACGCGTTTTAAAACCATGATGCTAAAGACGATACGTAATGAAGCGAAACAGACAATATAGAGATGTTTTGTAAATTGTATTAACTATAAGCCTAGTGTTGGGAACTTTGGGTTAGTAAAATCTGTTTGGACTATACAAATGAATACTTTTAGAAATATAAGGTTGTGGTATGAGCCTAAAAATAAACAAATCCAATATGATGCAGGCAATGCAGAAGCTGAAAGATGGAGAAGCTGTGATCGCCATGGATCCTAGACTGAAAAGGACTTCTGCATCTACAGTAACCATGGAGAAGACGCTCAAATTGGCTCGCCGATGCCTCGATCCCTTGAGACCGTCTCGACCGTCCATGAAAACTTGTTGTGAGGAGTTATGGGGAATTCGAAAGGAATATAGAGATAGATTATTATCTTCTTCTTGCTCGGAGTCTATTCGTTCAGCAGAATTTCCAGGTCAAAATGCAAAAAACAACCAATATGTTTCTTTTGATGATAAGGAGGATGAAGATTTGTACAGCAAATTCCATTCTGTATAAGTCACCAACTTATGCCATTTCCAGATAAGAGTGAAGCTTTTCATACCTCTTTTCCATAGCTTTTAAGTAACAAGTCCTGGAAGTCTCTGTTTTTATTGTATATTTTATATTTTCAAAAGATTCCCCAAACAGCATTTATTCAATTACATTGCTGCATTTTTCCTTACCGTTTCAATTTTCAAAAGAGTCACCCGACCCATTTGAGGTTCTATAGTCTCGTTGGGCTCACCCCTCTCCAATCGATGTAAGATCTCAAAATCTGTCCCATGGGGTTCAGAGTTCTCGTTGGGTTCCACTCCTCTCCAATCGATGAGGATCTCACAATTCGTCTCACTTAGAGGCTAGCATTTTTATTGACACACCACTTGGTGTCTGATTTTGATACTACTTATTATAGCCTAAGCCTACTGCTAACTTGTATTGTCTGCTTTATTCTGTTGCCTATTGCCGTTAATCTCACGATTTTAAAACGTGTGTGTTAAGAAGAGGCTTCCACACTTTTATAAGCAATGTTTCGTTTCTTTCTCCAATAAATTCTTTAACTTTCAATTTTTTGTCCAATAAGTATTTGAGATTCATTTGCTTATCCTAAACTAAAAATTTAATTTACTGTCTTACATAAAAGTTAATTATATATATATATATATATATATCTCGGGATGGTGTCAAGACACATGGACCCCGTCGATGGGAATCGAGATGATTGGTTGAGATGCGACGTTGCATTGAAAGACCTTGGCTCGAGCAGAGACAAGGTCAAACTGAATGACCTAGCCTAGTGTAGAGGCAAGTCGATTGTGTCGCAGACGATTAAACATGCACGCGCAGGCGACATGTGTGGTCGAGCAAGTTTGGATTCCACACGAGCGATGTTCGATTGGCGAAGACAAACCTCGCCTAAGGTCTGACGAAAGCCGGAGCGAAAAATATATATAAGACTTAATTCCCCTTAAGGCTGGTCGTGATCGTGTCAAGATCATGACTCGACACAGTAATATATATATATATATATATATATATAAAAGTTTTTTATATGCGAAATTTATTAAAATAAGAGTGATTAATTTTGTAATTGGAAAAAAGCAGCTGACTGGACTAGCACTGAAATATCCCCAACCCCGCGAAGTGACCGGTTTTCGCCTCTCTCCCCCTCAACCGTCGAAGTACTTTTCATGATCTTCCCGTGAGGGCGGGTGCGCCTTTTTTCTAAACAGAAGAAATTATATATTACCAAAAAAGAAAAAAAAAATAATAATCTCCAAGTTCCCAAGTCCGCGATTCTTTCTCTTGGATCCATTCATTTCCATGTGATCGTCACGTATGGTTCAATCACCTCCATTACTACACTTTCCTCTCCTACTCATCTTCTTCCTCCACTCCTCTCTCTCTCTCTCTCTCTCTCTATGCGTAATTCTCTGATATTTTCTCGAGAAAACTCCAAATACGTCCTTCCATTCTCTTTGTCCTCATTACCTTTTTTAGTTTGTTTTTCTTTGAATCCTCACCGATTTCACTTTCATTGTAGTCCTGAAAATATCTTTCTCGCTTGCTTTGCTTATGCTTTTTTTTATTTTTTTTATTGATTCTTCGGCTTCACTCGGTTTGAGTATTATTGGATCTCATTCTTGTTCGAGCTTCTGTGGTTATTCGGCTCGCTATTTTGGAGCAGAAGTGTTGAAGCAGTAAGTTTGTACTTCTGTTGTTTGCTGTTGATTTGCAAGTTCTAATTAGGGCTCGGTATTTTGATTCTCGGTTGTTCTTGGCTTGGTTCTGCGACTTGCTGTTTCTTTTCCTGTTCCATGTTTTCTCTTCAACATTGTTATTGTTTTGTTTCAGGTTGATTTCTTTGTAGACTCTGAGTATGGCGACTGCGAATGCTAATGGTGGTGCGGTTTCTACTGGTTCTGCGAAATTTCCCGCGGTTGCGCATCCTTTAGCCGAAGAGCCGGAAGAGATTGCGTCTAATATCAAATATCATGCAGCTTACAGTCCTCATTTCTCTCTCTTCAAGTTCGAGCCCGAGCAAGCGTATTATGCGACTGCTGAGAGTGTTCGCGATCGGCTTATACAAGTACGTTTTCTAAATCTTCAACTCATTGTGTGCTGAAATTGTATTCTCGAATTGCTACTTACGTGTGTGTTGGTCGAATCCTCCTTTATGCGTTAGACATTTTTTTTTTGTTGACTCTCTGAAATACGATTTATCATTGGTTCTTTATTGTGTTATTGTGGTGTTGTGTAACTATCTTTCAAATGATTTTGAACATGAAACTATTAAAGAGCGTCTTACAGTCGAACCTTGCTTATTTAATGCTTTCTAATTGTCCCGATACGCATCAAGGCTCAACATTTGGTTCTAGCGTTCGGTAGATATTTACCGTTTGATCTGGATTGTTTGCATTCACATTTTACGCTTGTATTCAAAGATTAAAAGCATTCTGCAATAATGAAGATTAGATAGGAGATTAAACTAATCATCAGATTTCAATTGACAAGTGTTTCCTGAGAGGCTTATCTATAATGCATTAAGAGACAACAAAGTGTGTAGCTAATTTGAGTTGACTGGTCTACTATATTTGATTTGAGTATATTATGACGAGTTGATGCATTTTTTTCATTTAATCTAAATATGAATCTGCACTAACTTTGATTGATGGTGGCTGAACTGATGGTGCTACTTCTCATCCGTCACTCTGCAGCAATGGAATGAGACCTACTTGCATTATCACAAAGCTGATCCCAAACAAACGTACTACCTATCAATGGAGTATCTTCAGGGCCGAGCTTTGACCAATGCGATTGGAAACTTGAATACTCAGGATGCATATGCTGATGCTCTGAATAAATTAGGACATGATCTTGAGGAACTGGTTGAGCAGGTTATTTTCAATGTTCTGTTCATTTGAAACCTGTTTTCTGCAATATTTAAGAGGTCTTGTGTTTGCCCATTTGTTTTCTTCTACTGAATATTGTGCATGCTTTCCATGAAAAGAAGCGATCATTAGTAGAAATTTAGTGGTGAATGCTACGTATTTAATCCTTTCAACCATCAAATATGGCAACCAAAACCATATGTTTTTTTACCAATAGCTCATTTATAACTCAAAAAATTCCATGCATGACTGTTGGTCCATATCCTGACTATAAATATATTTATATTCTCTGATATTTCAATGTTGACTTTAGCTTCTCTAGGAATCAATGACCACATGAATATATTGATAATTTGACACAGGTTGTACTTTTTATGCTTTCTCCACATCCTGCTGGCACATAGCTAATGTATGATTTGAGTTTAGTCAAGTAGCCCTGTGTTTATAGTTATCTTTTAACATGCACAATGTTGATATTGTAAATGACTTTTCATAGGAGAAAGATGCTGCCCTTGGAAATGGTGGACTTGGAAGGCTTGCTTCATGTTTTCTGGATTCTATGGCAACATTAAATTTGCCTGCATGGGGTTATGGTTTGAGGTACAGATATGGGCTTTTCAAGCAGCTGATCACTAAGGATGGCCAGGAGGAAGTGGCTGAGGATTGGCTTGAGGTCAAGTTCCCATTTGAGAAATTTTTTATATCAATATATTTCTACTTCAGACGTCTTTTAACACTTGTATTTGTGAAAATCATGCAGAAGTTTAGTCCTTGGGAAGTTGTCAGACATGATATAGTATTCTCTGTCAGATTCTTTGGTCATGTGGAGGTCAAACCCAATGGATCGTAAGTTTTATGTTTTGGCTGAACTAATTGCCTCAACTAGTCCATTTTGAGAAGACATTGTAGTTATAAATGTTTAAGGGCCAGAATACATTCCAGAATTGATCATCTTACTTTAAAAATTATCTTCACTGCTTTGGGCATAACTCTCGGTTTAGTGAAAGTTGTGCATTGTGTACCTAACAGTCGAAGATGGACTGGAGGAGAGATTGTACAAGCTCTAGCCTATGATGTACCAATTCCAGGATACAAAACCAAGAATACTAATAGTCTTCGCTTGTGGGAAGCCAAAGCACGTGCGGATGATTTTGACCTTTTTCAATTCAATGATGGACAGTATGAATCTGCTGCACAGCTTCATTTTAGAGCTCAACAGGTATGTTACAAATTATCATACTTGAAAGGTTGTTCATGGAATTGGCACATCAACAGGTTTATTATCATTTGCAGATATGTGCCGTTCTATATCCTGGAGATGCTACAGAGAATGGAAAACTCTTGCGACTAAAACAACAATTTTTTCTTTGCAGTGCGTCACTGCAGGTTGGGAGATTCTTCATTTATTTATTTATTTATTTTTCACGAAGGCAATTTTTTAGTCTTGTGTTGGCCTGGGATATCTTTCCTTCAACATTGAGGCATATTAAGAATCTCAAGATGGTTCAAAAAATTATGTTCGTATATGCTTCTTTAAATAGTTTTAGTATGAACAAAAGCATATTTCATTTTCTTTGTGCAAGTTACAACTGTGCTAGAAAAAAAGTATTTGGTAGCATGCAACTATATATATATAGGGTGAAGATATAATTTCTAATACTTGTTTTGCAAACATAATGGAAGTATGAATATTCTTATAAATAAAACAGCCGGTTGTTTGTTTATTTTTTGAACAACTTCTCATTAATATAATGAAAAAGAACAAATGTTCAAGGGTTACAAACTCTTAAAGTGAGTGAAAATAAAATAAACAAATATGACCAGGCCAAGTAACCTATGAATTGTTCAAAATCCTCACCTAATGAGAATCAAAAGAACATGAAGCCAGAACTTCAACAAACAATTATTTGCTGCTACAACCGTATTTGATAGTAACACTTAGACATGCATCTCAAAATTAATGCCAAGTTTAATGTGCCTGCGATTGTAATTGGCTTAGTTACATATGTCCCAAAACAGATAAGTTAAAGTTTCTAACAATTATAAAATATACAATCAATCCCAAATGGATGGCTAGTGAGATGGTGCAAATTTTAGCAAATGGTACTACTGCTGGTGATGAACCAGCCAGGGGCGAGGATATAGTGTTAGTTTATGCCATGAGAGGATTAAGTTGGTTGTATTAGTTGTATATGTAGTGATAGCAAACACGTGCATCATATAGTTCTAATCTAAATCCTATAATCTAACGATGAAAGTTTTGAACTGGTTATACAATTATTAGGTTTGTTGG